GAGATCAACCGAAGGACTTGTATGCATGCATATAAGCATAACCAATGGACATAAGACACTGGGGGGTAGGGGAGGCCAAGGGATTGTCAAGAGCGGGAAAAAAAAGGAGACATATGTAATACTCTTTGTAATACTTTAAGCAATAAAACAGTTAAAAAATAAATAAAAGATAATATTATATCAATAAAAAAAAAGAAAAAAAAAAGAAACTTTCCTATTATTTTCCTTTCTTCACTCTCCCCAAAACTGACAGACATTAGACCTACCAATAGTTTTATCTCTATTCACCTTCCAAACCAATGGTCCTTCATGAATCATCTTCCTTTTTGTTAAATCCAAATTCTGTCAAAATAAAAAGAATTATACAGAAATTATTTCTAAGTTCTTAGTGAGATAATATTTTAGTCTCTTTTCAAGAAATTCTTAATACAGACAGTCCTCGGGTTATGTCGGACTCGACGTACGTCGTTTCCTGGTTATGTCGCCATCTCTCATTTATTTATATATAAAAAAAGTTCTGTCATTTTGACATATGTACATATGTGCTTTATATTTTTTATTATTTATTTACCACAAGTAAAGGTCAGGGATTGTTATCTTTCTTTTAAATTTATTTTACCATTTCACTTTATTACTGCTGTGTATGTGCTCCATGTGAGTGACATAGGTGCTTATGTAGGTGGGTTCCGACTTACGGCAAAAATCGTGTTACGTTGTGCCGGAAGAACGGATCTCCGTCGAAACCCGAAGACCTACTGTATAAAAATACCACTTACATTCACTATTATTGATATCTGTCAACTATTGAAAATGAAATAAACAGTAAGTTCAAGTAAGCTGCATAACATTTTCTAAAAGAACACTCAGAAGTGCTGCCTTCTAAATCTCTCTCAACAGATGACCCAGCTTATGAAAGTGAAGCTGTGAGCATTCAGCCATCAGATTCTCACCATCCCTGCATTTTCTATCAATAACCAGATGAGGATGTTGCTAAGCTGGTTTGTAAGAGGCCTCTAGTCCCAGGTTCTGGTGGCAAGGGAACGTCTAAGGAGCAGCACTTAGGGGGAGGCCAGGCAGCACTCAGGCTCGCTCTCGGGAGGAAAGGCGGAGTCGGAGAGTCGCCTTTAGCATAAGCAGCTCTAGGAAAACCTCGCTCTCTGGCCGGGGTAAGCACAAGCATGCTTGTTGGTGAACTGTTATATATGACACAGAAGTTTAACAGCCACCAAATTAATCTGCAAAACAACCAACAGTGAAACAATGTAAGAAAGATTTAAAATCCTAAATAGTGATTAATAGAAAGGCCGCATGTACCAGAGTGACAATTAATAAATATTTCCCTATCATTCGCATAATGGTTTCAACTTTCTGAGGAACTTCATGGAAAAATAATTACCTTGCTTCACTCAATAATCTGGAAAGTTCCCACAGCAAACAGCCCTATTCTTACTCAAACTGTACAACACAATAATATAACCTAACAAGTAATGTTCTTTCATCTCTTGCAAATTTTTATCAAAAAAGTTTCCCATAAAAAACATTCCTTAATGCAGTGGTTCTCAACCTTCTGGCCCTTTAAATACAGTTCCTCAGGTTGTGACCCCCAACCATAAAATTATTTTCGTTGCTACTTCATAACTGTCATGTTGCTACTGTTATGAATCGTAATATAAATATCTGATATGCAGGATGGTCTTAGGCGACCCCTGTGAAAGGGTCATTTGACCGCCAAAGGGGTCGCGACCCACAGGTTGAGAACCGCTGCCTTAGGGGAAGACTACAAGCAGCCCCCAGGGACACAGGGTTCGGAAGGAAGAGCTGAGCCTCGAGCATCAACCCGCGGGCGGTGCTCCCTCAGAGGCACTGCTTCCTGCAGGGCCGTCAGTGCATTTCACGGCTCAAGTCATTGTCGACCATTTCTCACCCTGAGCTCTTCCACGTCTGGGTACTCGGACAGCTTCAGGTTGGAGGTGTCAAGGCGGCGCTGATAATCCTCTAAATGCTGAGAATCAGACGGGACAGAGCAAAGGTTACTGCTGCGGAGCTCAAAGAACTCCCTGTTCCTAAGTCAAACGGCACTTGACTGAGCTCTTTGCGATACCAGACAGACGGACACTCGATCTTCCTTCAGTTCTCCTTGGGCTTTGAGAGCTCTCCTAGTTCCTGTCTTACCTCTGGCTGTTCTTCAATCTTTTCGGACTCACAAGCTGGTATTTGTTTTCTGAGCATGTAAACCATGTACATGACACACAATTCAGAAGGTGCTGCAAGGCACAGAGTAAAAAGTAGGTCTCCCCCACCCTGCTTGCTTGCCTCTCCACCCCAATGTGCTCTAAAGGAATGCCCATTTCTTGGGCAGCCTGTAAGAAAAATTCTAAGCAAATAGAATACATGCGTATGCTTGTCTCTGTACATGTTGTGTGTATATATCCTTCAACAAAAGACATGGTAGCCTAATATATTTATATACACTTTTCTATATGTACATATCACTCATCAATGGATCTCGGACATTGTCCCACATTAGCCTATATAGAAAGAAACAGCGGTCTCATTTTTTTAGTGGCTGCATGGTATTCAACTCTGAATGAACTATAGCTCATTACTGAAGGAAATGCAGGTTACTTCAAATCTTCTCTTATAACAAACAACATTGCAATAAAATGGCCTTAACATATACTTTTGTCCACATGTGTAGATACAACTATAGAATAAATTTCTAAAGGAAGAACTGTTAGCTCAAAGGGTACATGCATTTTCCCCAAGATTATAAAATTCTCAAATACACAGAACAGTTTGACTGTGTACAGTGATTACCTAGATGCCTCCCACCTATATTCTACAAGTAACACTTGCTTTTGTTTGTCATATACCCGTCCTTCTAGTCATCCTCATCCCTCTATCCATCAATCCACTTTGTATTTTGCATGCATTTCAAAATAAATTGCAGACACAGGACACTTTACCTCTAAACATTTTAGCATTCCTGGTATAAACAAGAATTCAATATTTCTTTACAGTTCTTTTTATAAACTAAAATCTACAAACAGTGACATGCACACGTCTTAAATGTAGCTTTCCATAAGTTTTTACAAATGCAAGTGTACCTGTGCAAACTCTTATCAAATTATAAAATACCATTGCTCTCATACTTTTTCCTAATTAGTATCTGTCCCCACATTCCCAGTGACAACCACCTTTCTGACTTTCCCCCCCACCATTGATTAGTTTATCCTGTTCTGGAAGTTTACATACATACAATTATAAGTATATACTCTTCTTTTTCTTTTATCCTCATCCAAGCATATGTTTTTATTGGTTTTAGAGAGAGAGAGGAAGAAGGGATGGGGGTGGGAGGGAGAGAGAGACAGAGAGAGATAGAAACCTCGATATGAGAAAGAAACATCCATTGGTTTCCCCCCATACTCGCCCCAGCCGGGGATTAAACCCGCAACCTAGTTCAGTAATCAAACCTGCAACCTTCTGGAGTGTGAGAGACACCCTCAACAACTGACTGCCTGTGTGTGCCCTTCCGTGTCTGGATTCTTTCTCTGGAATGTTTGCGAGGTTCACCCATGCTTCCCTCAGTAGGCCCTTCCTTTTTATTGCTGGTATGATTTTCTTTTATGATTACACCACATTTGGTTTATGTTATAGACAATCTTATAAGTCTCTGGGCATAAATTCATTTCTCTTCGGTAAATAATTAGGAAAAGAATGGCTGGGTCAAAGGATATATGAATATGTGTATTTTTAATTTACACAAGTATTGCCCTCTGGCGTTTGATTATTTTTTACTCGAATCATTTTTCTATCACCTCACCAATAGAGTCGTCATCGTACTCAGTTCCTAAAAATTACATCCAGGTCCACGGACTCAGGAGGCCTCTGTGCGCTTGTGTTTGATCTTCGGTCCAGTGTGCTGAGAGCTGGGCCCATGTAGCCAACTGCTTACTGTGCATGTTCCCTGATGTCTCAAATGAACTCAGTCTTCCTCCACTCATCCCAAATGTGCAAGTCAGAGACCTTGGTTTATTCCTGACATTCTCTCTCTTCAAATCCTTCTCTAAGTCAGGCAACACACTCTGTCAATTCCATCTTCTAAATACTTCTCCAAGCCCAGCACCGCTCGGAGCACCGGCATCGTCCTGGCCACGGAGGCCCGTGAGCTCTTGCATCCGTTCTCGTCCCTCCTCAGCCCTTTCTCCAGAGTAGATGGCCGATACTTATAAAGTGAAAACCCGAGCAGGCCCCTCTCCTTCTTGAACGTCTATAATGAAGCCCTATTGCTCTTAGAATAGAAACGTTTCTAAACAGGGTCCACAGCAAGCATGTCAAACTCCCAGCCGGCGGGCCGCATGCCTCAGCCCGCAGGCCATGAGTTTGATATGCTTGGTACAGAGCCCTGCATGATATGGCCCATCCCCACTGCACCTAATTTCATGTCACTATGACTTGCGTTTCATCATGATAAACACAATAATCTCATCTTTAAGTTCCTCAAACAGACCATGCTTTTTTTTTTTTTTTAAAGTTTTGTTTTGTTTTTTTAATTGGAGAGAGAAGAAGGGAGAGGGAAGGATAGGAACATCCCTGAGAGAGAAACATAGATCCAGCCCGCAACCCCGGTCATGTGCCCTGACTGGGAATCCACCCAGTGACCTACACTCCTAGCATCCTGAAATTCTCCTTCATTGAAGTTATCAACACTGACATAAAACACTTGCACTTTGATCTGCTCAATGACATTCCGTCCTGCTAGAAAACAAGCTCAGTGTGGGCCAGCACTGTGCTCACTTTTTAACCTCTCTGTGCCCTACACTCAGCACCCACAGATGCTCCACGGTCACTGAATTCATGAATGAACGAGCAAACAAGCAGCTGGAGATGCTTGAACAGTCAGCCAGAACTCTCATATTCTGCCCAAAGTGACCCAGACCCACCGACGATGTGAAGTTAACAAACATCCACCCTGCAGTTATGCAGTGAGGTTTTCAATTATTATTTCACAGATTCCAGGTGATGCTAATTTAATATTCTCACTATGCCATCCTGTATCTTTTTGCTTTTCCCTTCTTACCTGCTTGTTTTCTGCTTCCTTGACAGCCTGATTTACATAATTTAAGATCTGACGACAGTGATCAGCTGCTTTCTTCACCTTCTCCCTTTCTGTTGGCCACTCTAAACAAGGGCAAAAATCCAAATGTAAATGGAGGAAATCAGAAAAAAGTGTGTGTGTGTGTATATATATATCCTATCTAATAATAGACAAACATGGTAACTGACCATACTTTCACTATACCTCCCACTGGCTAATCAACACGATATGCAAATTAACCGCCAACAAAGATGGCGGCTAATTTGCATACTGCAGGCAGGGCGGGACAGCGCAGCTGCCAGCGCGAGCCGCCATCCTGGGCCGCAGGCCGGCCCCAGAAGCTACCCAGAAGCCGGTGATCAGGGGGAGATGGGGGTCCCCTGCCCAGGCCTGACGCCTGGACCAGAGGCATCACGCCTGGGAGGGAGGCGGAGCTGGTGATCGGAGGGAGATGGGGGTCCCCTGCCCAGGCCTGACACCTCTGGCGGAGGCGTTAGGCCTGGGCAAGGGGCTGATCCAGCAATCGGAGGGTGATGGGGGTCGATGCCTCTGGCCGAGGTGTCAGGCCTGGGCGAGGGCAGAGCTGGTGATCAGGGGGGGTGGGAGATGGGGGTCCCCTGCCCAGGCCTGAAGCCTGGGCCAGAGGCATGAGGCCTGGGCGGGGGGTGG